GTGCGCATACAGCTCGCCAGGGCGTTCCAACAACAGGAACACCACTACAATCTGCGACGCCGTGAGTGGCGGCCAAAGATCGGCGACCGGGTATGGAAACGAGACCGACCACTGTCCACGAAAGCAGAGGCGTTCAACGCAAAGTTAGCGCCGCGGTATGTTGGCCCAATGACCGTGCGACGGATACCTTCACCGGTCATTGTCGACCTCCAGGACTCACGTGGGAAGTGGTACCGGCATGTGCACATCCAGGATCTGAAGCCAGGCCCACCGGACGATTTGGAGATAACCGAGGCAGGGCCCGCCGCGACGGGCGACGAGGTATGTGCAGTGTCGGTAAGGGAAAACACTGCTGACCGACCGAGCTACCGAATCGAGTCCACCGGAGAACCGCTAAAGGCCACCGGCGGGCGCCACGGGCGATCCTATCGAGCGCGGCATTTAGCTCACACGCCAGTCATGAAGAGATCGCACACGATGACGGACAACCGACAACGCGAAGTTGAAGAGCTCTTCGGGAGCATTAGCGACAGCTCAGGAGACGAGGGGCCCCAACGCCCTTGCGGCCCTCCCGTGCCGGCGCGCGCACCTCGGGTCGGCACTACGGTACAGAGGTCGGATGCCGACCAACGGAGGAAGGCGGCATGGCTCGCCTCCCCACCACCGCTGCGGCCGGTACGCAGGCCGCGTACCGAGATCCGGCGGTTGCAGACGGCCGCCGGGCCGAAGATTCCACCCCGGTCTGCCATCCTGAGGGCAGCGGCCGCTAGTCCGCCCGGGATTCGGCCACCCACGGGGCCTGCTCAAGCGAGGCCTACGGCGCCGGCGCCCTCTAAGGTAAGGGATGCACGACCTCCCGCGCCTGACAACCAGGAGAAACCACTCGGCCGCCCCAGCACGGCATCAAGGGACGACGTGCCGCAGCCACCGGTCCCGGGGCCCATCGAGTTCCCGGCGATTCCAGTCCGCCTCGACGACGGCACCCAGGTCGAGGTGCCTCATTGGG